TAATATTTTAAAGCAACAAAATATAAGTTTTTAATAATCTTATTCAGAGAGAAAATAAAGTTAGGATATTAGGTAATGGAAGTTAATTGTTAGTTAATTAACTCATAGTCATATCAGACACTAACCTAATTTTTCACAGGAATATACATCATATGGTTAACAGATAGGTTTTATTATATGAATATAGATAGACACGATTATATAAAGATAGGTAAGTCTTCAAAAACCTGAGAGACCTACAGAATATAGCATTTAAAATGTGTTAATTATTTTAAAGATTCTTTGACAATGAGACAGGTCATGTCCTGGTAGCACCCAGCCTACCTTAGAGAAGATGATGAGCAACAAAGAACTTCCATATGGAGATGGCTTCAAATGTGGCAAACAAGCCAACCTGGGCATAAAGAAAATGCCCTCATTTCACAACAAACAGAATTCAACTAAAATGGGCAAGCTTAAAAGCAGGTCAAGTCAACTGCTGAATTCTGCCAACACAGGGTAAGCATGTCCACTATATATATATATATATATATATATATATATATATATATATATATATCAAATATACTGAGACAGAAGGATAAAGATGATGCTCCAGTGTTGTAGAGTATTGGTTTACTGTTCAGGAAGCAAACTGTCTCTGTCATTTTTTAACTTTTTAATTTTAATTTTTTAGAATTTGCTAACATGTACTTCCTATTTACTCCAGTAACTTATTTTATTCCTTCTCATGTCTCTCTTCCGGTTAAAGAGCAAATAGTTATACTTCCACAATTAAGCTTAAGTTGTTTAGAATTTAAGAAAGTGTGTTCAGGTAGGTAATACCAATAAGGATAAAAGCTAATTTAGATATAGGACTCTAAACTTGTCATTACAGGATATTCAAATACTTTCTCATTAGTTGCCAAATGCACATGGACTAGACATTGCACCTGTAAAACTTACCTATTTGTTTTCATAACTGTACCTAATAGTTTTCATAATTGTTGTATGATTTTTATTCTATTGAAAGAAAAAGAGCCTTTTATTGGACTTAAAGGGGGAAATGTTGTTATAATGTTTCTGTGGAATATAAACAATATACCCTTGTTCATTTGCATGCTGATTTCTCTACCCCACTATATGGTTTCAATCAGGACACTGCATTGTGATGTTTGTTCTAAGCATCTCTTGTCTCAGGTCTGTGTAAAATTGCCACCATTTGTTCTCTGTATTTTTAATATAACAATCAGCCAATGCTGAGCAATGAAGAGAACAGGCTGGGGCATTCTGGACCAGAGGGGAAGAGAAAGAAGCAAGTGGGAGGAGGTTTGGGAGAAGAGAGATATAGGAAGAGAGGACCTAAAAACACCAGGAGAGATGAAACTGTTGGACCAAAGATATGACTAAATTCAAGTATAATGTGGGAAATCTGAATGGGATGTTTCAGATAGAATAATTATTGGACAGAATTGTGCTCTACCAAATACATTCTAATCTCTGTGGTCATTTGAATATAAAGCTGGTTTAGGAATAACTGAAGGTTACTAAAAGTTTATTCAATATTAAATATTAATAGGCAGTAATAATTCATATTCACACAGCTGGGATCTTGCCGTGTGTACTTTCTTTTTTTCTGTTTTCTTTTAATTTTTTAAATTTTCCTTTTTCTTTTTCATATTAATTACAGTTTATTCACTTTGTATACCAACTGTAGCCCCTTCCCTCATTCGCTCCCAATCACATCCTCCTTTTCTAATCTGCTCCTATGTCCCTCTCCAAGTCAACTGATAAGAGAGGTCCTCCTCCCCTTCCATCTGATCCTAGTTTATCAGGTCTCATCAGAACTGGCTGAATTTTCTTCCTCTGTGGCCTGGTAAGGCTGTTGGTCCCTCAAGGGGAGGTGATCAATGAGCCAGCTCCTGAGTTCATGTCAGAGATTGTCCCTGTTCCCTTTACTTGTTACCCCTTACTTGGATACTGAGCTGCCATAGGCTACATCTGTGCAGGCATTCTAGGTCATCTCCATGCATGACTCTTGGTTAGAGAATCAGTCTTAGAAAAGACCCCTATCCCCAGATTTTTGGTTCTGTTGCTCTCCTTGTGGAGCTCTTGTCCCCTCCAGGTCTTTCTATCTTCCCCTTCTTTCATATGATTCCCTGCACTCTGCCCAAAGTTTGGTTATGAGACTCAGCATCTGCTTTGATACACTGCTGGGTAAAGTCTCACAAGATAATTTCATTTAACTTTCCAGCATGAAGAGGGGAGGTAACTCAAAAGGTCCCACCATTGAGGAGCTATTGATAATTGAGGGTTCTGGAAGAGTCAGTTTTCTACAGAAAGATACTTTTTTTAGGCTGCCCACACTTCATTGTATAACCCTACACTTATTTGCATAAAGACAGAAATTCTTGGGTTCAGAGGATTATTTTTAAAATAATAAAATATGAAGTTTCAATGATTTTTTTGGTGGGAGATGTCCAGAACTCATGGGAATGAGAAAAATTATGACCAAATTAAATTTATACAGGTAGTATGAATAAAGCTAATGGGAACATAGTTGAGGAAATGTTCTTGTTGTATAGTTGAGAATGTTTTGGATATATGCCCAGAAACTGGAAACAACCTAGATGTCCCTCAACCAAGCATCAGATACAGAAATTTCGGTAAATTTATAGAGTGGGATACTACTCTGCAATTAAAAACAAGAACATCATGAAAATTGCAGGCACATTGATGGAATTAGAAAAGATCAACTTGAGTGAGGTAACACAGAAGCGAAAAGACATACATGGTATATACTCACTTGTAAGTGGATATTAGCCATATAATATAAGATAAACATACTAAAATCTATAGTCCTAAAGATGCCAAACAACAAAGAGGACCCTGGGGAATATGTTCAATGTTCATTCAGAAAGGCAATCTGGATAGACATCTGAAGAAGGAGAAGACAAGGAAGAGGATAGGAGCCAAACAGAGAGGGCCTCTGAAAGGCTCTATCCAGCAGGGTATAGAATCAGATCCTGAGTCTCTTCGTCAAACTTCAGGCAGAGTTCAGGGAATATTATTGAAGATGGGGGAGATAGAAAGTCCTGTAGGAGATCGGAGCTCCACAAGGAGACCAACAGAGCCCAAAATCTGGGCTCAAGCGGCCCTGCAGAGACCAATGCTTCAACCAAGGACCATGCATGGACAGGACCTAGACACCCTGCTCAGATGTAGCATATGGGCAGCTCATTCTCCAAGTGTGTGTCCTAGTATGGGGAGCAGGGGCCATCTCTGACAAGAACTCAGTGGCTAGGACTTTGATCACCTCTTCATATTGTATTTGCTTCAAGATATTCCATGTAACTAGGATGTATATTTTAATTCATGTCTGCTTTGCTATTTTCTCTTATATGATATTGTTTTAACATTTACAACATAGAATGCAACATAATTTTTACTAAGGCCCTAATATTGTACTTGCCTTCCTTGTTCGTTGTAAGATTTCTATCTTTATATCTTTACTGATTATCACAGTACCTAAAGTATTAAATGTGTTGAAGAATAATTATTAAGTAGATTGTTTAGAAACTCTGAATTCAATGTATTTTAAAACATGAAAACATACAGTATTTGATTATTTTATACATAAGATTTTTAAAGTATCAGTAGTCATATGTATATGTGTGTATATGTGTATATGTTCATGTGTATGTATATATTACCACATGAAAACGTGTAGTCATGACATTGCAAGCTCTACTGTGCTTCCCAGGAGAAGATCAAGGCCTGCTCTGCCAAGTGTTGTAACAGATGAGGGTCAGGGCCAGAATCATGTTCTCATGACCCCAGCACCAGTTCTCCTGCCTGCCATAGGTGGTAAGGGGCAAGGGTGAGGGAAGGTATCTCTATCTCAATGCCACAGAGCAGACAAGTTGTGAAGCCAGTTCTTTAGGGTCACACCTTTGGGCCAGATCACCGAAAGCACCCACACCCATGGCCAGCTCTACCATCCTGTCCAGATTAAGTACAGGGCCTGCTCTCCTGAGTGTTACTGTAGGTGAGAAACAGGGTGAGCCCTTCCACTCTGATAATTTCATGGACAAGTTTCCTGCATGATGTAGGTGGCTAGGAGCAAGGAGGTGTGATATCTCACCCTTGCCAATGTCGCTGTACCACAGACAAGTGTCTGGGCCAGTTGTTTCCCATGCTCATTTTGTTGGGCCACCTTGCCTTTGACCCTGCCAGAACTGCATCTGGCTTGGACAGGTTTAGATCACCTGTTCTCATGCCCCATGGCCAGCTCTCTCTGGATGCCCAGGTCAGGGATGGGGCCAGTCTGCATATAACTCAGTCATGGACACTGCCTCAAGAGCCTTCTGCTTATCTTTTGGTTGTAACAGACATTGGTTTTTGCAGAACCATGGACTCAGATGTAGACTCTGGTGACAGCACAGACCAGGATTTCACCATGGTCTTAGGTGGCATCAATGACTACTCACATCAGGCTGTTCCTCATGACCCTTGAGTCTCCAATTATGCCTCACTTCATGGAGCCCACATCCTGTTTTTTTTTTTTCTTCCATTTATCTACCACACACTTTTCCCTGTTAGTGAGGCCCAGGGTCTCTGAGTATCTGGGATTATCTCAAGAGTTATCTCATCAGTGCTCTGCCCTGGTCCTGTATCACGGCACTGGCACTGAACAGGGGTCATCTTGGGCATGGCATTGCCCCACCCCAGGCCTTTTCATCAAATGATGATCATCTCAGCCTAGGTACCTTTCTGGTGCCTATGATGCTGGTCTGGTGCTCCTTGGACAAGAGGACCCCATCCAAACATCTGTCTCAGGATCACTCATGCTTGGGTCCCAGGATCCCAGAGGGCATTGTTCTAATGTCTGGCTTGCTCCCCTTCCTATAAGCCCATCAGAATATGCATAGAACTGGAATGGTGGTCCTCTTAGGCTAGCTCCCTGTCTGGGACCACTGGCACCTGACTGGAGGTTGTCTCAGGTTAACTTATTTTCAGGGAATGTTAGGCTTCTAATCATTCAGATGTTCACAGATTAAAAGACTGAGGATAGACAAAGCTTCTCTCCTCTTTTAAACCTACTGATGTACATGTGACACAGCAACCACATCTGCAAAGCATCTAAGGGCAGAACCTATAGCTGTTTAATGTCTCTCTAAACCTTTGTCCAACATATAGGTTTATTTTTCTCAATCAGTGTCCAAGTGGGTTACATAGTAATGGGAAGAGGGACTGCCTCTGACATAATCTGATTGGCCTGCTCTTTGATCACCTCCCCCTGAGCGGGGAGCAGCCTTACCAGGCCACAGAAGATGACAATGCAGCCACTTCTGCTGAGAACTGATAGACTAAGATCAGAAAGAAGAGGAGAACCTCCCCTATCAGTGGACTTGGGGAGTGGCATGCATGCAGAAAGGGGAGGGAGGGTGGGATCAGGAGGGGAGGAGGGAGGGGCTTATGGGAGGATACAAAATGAATAAAGTATAAGTAATAAAAAAAAATTAAAAAAAATAAAAAAATGTTAGAGAAGTAGATAATAAGCTTTAAAGTAACTAAATCAGTATCAATAGTGTTTCCTTATGAACAAGCATAACCTATTCTCCAAGTTGTTTCTATGTGAATAATTTGGGAAGTTTTGAAAAAAAATGTTCTATACTGTGCTAAAATTGGTACGTGTTTTTTTTTAATTTTTATTAATTACACTTTATTCACTTTGTATCCCCCCATAAATACCTCCCTCATCCCCTCCCAATCCTACCTTCCTTCCCCTTTCTCCAAGCATGCCCCTCCCTAAGTCCACTGATAGGGGAGGTCTTTCTCTACTTCCTTCTGATCCTAGTCTGTCAGATCTCATCAGGAGTGTTTTAAAACATGTAGTTCATACAAAAACTTACAGTAGCCAGGCTTTTATTCACCACTACTAGTCACAATTCTCATTAACACAAATAACAGAATGTTGTTTGTAATTATTCTTCAAGAGTAAATATTTAAACCAGACTATGTAGTATATGTTATACTTTTCAGGACACCAGGTTAATTTAGTCAATAATTACTTCAGTGTACTCAGTAGGAATTTAGTGGAAGTAAAGCACTAAAGTAAATCCTTAATGTATATTCTGAACTGTCAAGGCATGATATATTTACAGGGATATCTGGAGAACATTACTAGGGCTCCAGAAAAAATGCACATACTTTTTAATATTTTAAATTTCTTTTTCTCTCATATATTACATCTCAACTGCAGTTTCTCCTACCTGCTCTCTTTCCCATCCTATTTCTCCATCCACTCCTCCTCCATTTCTCTTCAGAAAAGGACACATTTCCTAGGGATATCCGACAAATGTGGTATATCAAGTTTCAGTGAGACTAGGCACCTCCCCTCCTATTAAGGTTGGATGAGGTAACTCAGTAGGAGAAAATGTAGTCAAAAGAGTCAAGGACACCCTCTACTCACAATGTTTGGTGCTCCACAATAAGAGACAGCTACACAACTGTAACATATGTGAAGAACGCCTAGGTAAGATCCACACAGGCTTGCTGGTTGACAATTTAGTCACCAATGAACCTCTATGAGTCCAAGTTAGTTGATTCTGTGGATTTTTTGTGGTGTCCTTGAACCTTCTGATTCCTACAATCCTTCCTCGCCCTCTTCAAAGGACTCCCCTAGCTCTGGCTAGTTTGGTTGTGGGTCTCTACATGTATTTCCATAACTTGATGGATGAAGCCTCTTTGAAGACAATTTGGCTAGGCAGTAATCTATGAGTATAGAAGAATATCATTTGGCATAATTTCATTATCAGTTTTTGCAAGTTGTATTTGGTTTTATCTAGATCTCTGGGACATCCAGTTTCTGGGTCCTGGTCCTCCAGGCAGTGTCAGGGGTGGGCTCCTTCTCATGGCATGGGTCTCAGGATGGACATGGTATGTACTCACATAGAAGTGGATATTAGTGATTAACCATGTTACAATCCACAGAAACACAAGCGTTTTTGCGGTATTTGATTGTGATAAATGGGTAAAAATACCTCTGTAATAATTATAGGGCTAATAATAATAAATATTGTATAGCCTGACACTCATTTATTTACAACAACAAAGAGTGCTCAAGGTAGGTGGGTTTAGGTGCAGGCTAGGTCTCCCTTCCAGTAGAGGGATTGAGACACCAACCCAGATATTAAATCATTGGCCTACAATTTATCCTACCTACAGATGTATTCAGGTAAAGGTGGTCAGTAGTGTCATTATGGAAGTTGCCAACCAATGATTGATCAGTCTTGAGACCCATGCCATGAAATGTACATCCTTAAGCCACCAAAATCTAAATATAAAAGAAATGGTCCTGTTTCAACTGAAATATTCCTGATATTTATATTCCTTTACATATGAAACAACACATAATTGGAAAAGGACTTATTCTTTTTATTTTTCTTCATACATCTTACTTCCTGTTAGAAAATGAATTTGTGTTTTTGATAAGTATTTCCCTCTCTCTACACTGCAGAAAATTAATACAACTATGAAAATTATTTTCATTGTTGATATTAACATTCTGTTATATATTTTTGGTTGTGGGGAATATAAATGATGTTATAGCAGCACTATACAAATTATTTTTATTGGCATATACAAAGTAAAAATATTCATCATATTACTACTATTAAAGTTTGGATATTATCTAACCACTCTTAGAACATGTAGCTGCATATCCGTTTTAAAGTCTTTTTAGAATATTAGGTAACTTAGGACACATTAAATGCTTTCCTGCAAGACTGAATTATCTATGCTTAAATAAGTTTATTATAAAGCAAGTCAGATCTTTTATACCCTCCATTTTCTTTGTATTTCCAATGAATGGGTAAATGTCGGTTTCATTATTTTGGAATTTCATTATTATTAGTTAAAATGAACCTAATTTATTTATAAATTACCCAGCATGTAATCAAACACCAAAGTCTGAGTACTTTATATAAAATAAGTATGTTTAATTTGCATTAAATTGGAGTTCTGAAGATTCAAGAACATGTCAAGATCTCACAGTAATTACCACTATGATGGTGTCAAGACATTCAGCTGGAGAAGTTACAAGTGAGACAAGAAGGAAAAAGCCAAGAATGCACTAAAGTTACTCATTATTATAGCACGTGTTTTTCACAGAAACAACCTCACTTCTGTAACACCTAGAATTAATCTATTCATGATGCAGCCATTGGATCACCACTTCTTAAAGCTTCAACTACCTGAACACTATCATGCTGAGAAACAAGTTTCTATTTTATTTTATCATGTTTTAAATTATGAGATTGATGTCCTACATAGATTCATGTATCTGAACACATGATCATTTTTGGTGGCTATGGAAGGCTCAGCAAGTGCAGCATTGTTGAAGGAAGTATGTCACTGAAGGCAGTGTTTGAGAATTTAAAAAACTGAGCGATTTCCAATTGCTGTCTCTGCTTTGTGCTTATGGTTAGGGATGTGAGCTCTCAGCTTCTTGTTCCTGTTGCCATGCGTGCTGCCTATTTTTATGAACTTTTATCCCACTATAACTATAAACCAAAATGAACTCTCTTTTCCTGAGGTTGCCTTTGATAATGGGTTTTTATCACAGCAACAGAAAATTAAGCAATACACAGTGCATGAAATTTTTATGGGAAAAAATGAATCATCTCTATGTCATGGAACCAAATCATGAACACTCCCTCCAAGCAATAGAAAATGGACAGACACATGTAATTTTAATAAAATGCAAATAGCAAATAAATAAGAGTAGACATAGTCTTTATTTGTATAATTAAAAGAATATCTTTAAAACATGTATTTTTATTTTTTCTTGCTTCTTGAATTAATCCTTATTTGATAAACTACATAAATAAAGAACCAAGAAGAAACTCTCAAATTAAAAAAAAAATGGAAATTTTCACCAATTAAGGAAAAAAACGCAAGGGTAGTTACATTTTAAAGGGATTGGGGAGTTTATTGCTACACAGTTTATTACTCTTTTTATTTCCTCCTTTTTTGTTTTCTTTTTTTTTAAATTTTTTTCTTTTTTAATTTTTTTAATTTTATTTTTTTCTTATCAGTTACATTTTATTAACTCTGTATCCCAGCCGTGTCCCGATCCCTCATTCCCTCCCAGTCCCTCCCTCCCTCATCTCCACTGTGCCCCTTGCCAAGTCCACTGATAGGGGGAACCTCCTCCCCATTCAAACGCTCCTGTATTATTTTTTATTATTAGTTACATTTTATTAATTCTATATCCCAGGTGTATCCCGCTCCCTTATTCCCTTCCAATCCCACCCTCTCTCCCTCATCTCCTCCTTGACCATTTCCAAGTCCACTGATTGAGGAGGACCTCCTCACCTTTCATCTGACCCTGTTTTATCAGGTATCTCCAGAGTCCTCCTCTGTGGCCTAGCAGGACTGCTCCTCCCTTGGGGGGTGGGGAGGTCAAAGAACCTGCCATTGAGTTCCTGTCAGAAATAGTCCCTGTGTTAGTTCCTTAGTGCTATGAACTTTCCTATTAGCACTGCTTTCATTGTGTCCCACAAGTTTGGGTATGTTGTGTTTTCATTTTCATTGATTTCTAGGAAGACTTTAATTTCTTTCTTTATTTCTTCCCTGACCCAGCTGTCATTTAGTAACAAGTTGTTCAGTTTCCATGTGTGTGTAGGCTTTTTGCTATTTCTGTTATTGTTGAGATCCAGCTTTATTCCATGATGATCAGACAAGATACAAGGGATTATTTCAATCTTCTTGTATCTGTTGAGGCTTACTTTGTGACCAACTATATAGTCTATTTTGGAGAAGGTTCCATGAGGTTCCATAATTCTTTTGTGTTTGGGTGTAAAGTTCTGTAAATGTCTGTTAGGTCCATTTGATTCATGACCTCTGTCAGAGACATTGTTTCTTTGTTTAATTTCTGGTTTGTTGACCTGTCCTTTGAGAGTGGGGTGTTGAAGTCTCCCACTATTAATGTGTGGGGATCTATATGTGGTTTAAATTTTATCAATGTTTCTTTAACATATGTGGGTGCTCTTATATTTGGGGCATAGATGTTCAGGATTGTGACGTCTTCCTGGTGGAATTTTCCTTTGATGAGAATGAAGTGTCCTTCCCCATCTCTTTTTATTAA